AGCCTGGAAGCAGAAATAGGATGGAGTAGGTCTTCGGCTCCACTTCCTGGGGACATGGGGTGAGATATGCTTGTGTCACTGTCCTATACTTAACAAATCATCACAATGAAGATAGCAATGACAACCCTTTAATTACATATTTCCACACCAGAGAGGGCAGTTCAGTACAGAATAATGCCTTAGAGTGCAGACTCTAGGTCAGGCTGTTTGGACCCTAGCTCCCCCTCCACCAACAGCTACCGCTGTGTCATCGGGCATGTGGTTCAACACCCTGAAGCCTCAGTTTGCTCTTCTGTAAAATGGGAATGATAACAGGGTTGCTGCAAGGGTAAAATGAGCTGATTCATATTAGCATGTGGCACATGTAAGTATTCAAATGTTATCTGTCAAAAAAGCATGCTTCATATTGTGTTTTAGAAATAAATCTTCAGGGGGCACCTGGCTGGCTCAGTTGGTGGAGCGTGTGACTCTTGATCTCAGGGTCATGAGCTCGAGCTCCATGTTGGGTGTAGAAATTACTTAAAAACAAAAAAAGAGATCCTAACAAAAAGGGGAAGGACTTCTACATACTGGTGATGGTATAAAATGAATGAGGTCTTGGATAAGATTATCCAATTGTAAGGTACATTACAATTTAGATGCAAAAACCCAATTTCCAGCCACACACACAGTCTAACAAAAACAATTTTCCACCGCAAATGCAGTCTGATAAATTCTATTTCATACAACAAACATGTAAAACGAACATAGCTGGGGGACAAGGGTACATCTTACAGGAGATGATAAATCTTTTATAATTCAAAAGGAGAATAGCAGAAGAGTAATTAAAAGCAGGGGGAGTTCTTGCCTTTCTCAGTGAACTAGCCAGGATACAATTCATGGCACAGAAAAATAACATGAAAACAGGACCTTTACCTGGTTAATTACTTTATCTTAATGTCTTAGTAGTAACTGGTGTGTTATTCCCAAGACTCCCCCCCCCCACACTCCGCCGCTTAAGTATGTGAGAGAGTGTGTTTGCATTCTATTTATTTAGTTATTTTATTTATTATTTTTGAGGGGGGGTGCAGAGAGAGGGGAACAGAGGATCTGAAGAGGACAGTGGCAAACTCACCAAATTTGAGATCACAATCTGAGCTGAAGGCATATGCTTAACTGACTCAGCCACCCTGGCACCCCTCTTTTTAGTTTTTATTTTTTTATTTTTGTATTTGCGTTCTTAAAACCTCTTGGGTACAAATTGCAGTCTTCCCCTCCAGGTGTTTCTTGATATGTTATTGGAATCTGGAGTCTATGGTTTCAACTACATTTTTAACCATGACACTCTCAACCTATTTAAGGTTTATAACTTTGTATTTCCATAGCTATTAGGCTGATGACAGGGGACAAGTATTATGTATGATTAGAGAAATGAAGCATGCTATCCTGGTAAGCAGAGGTAGGGGCAGCTAATGTATTTGGGAGAGGGGTCTTAAATTATACTGTAAACAGCACTGCAACCACTCTTAAGGGTTAACTTACTTCAAGCTTAGGGGCTCCTTGCTTGCTGACCTAAGTCCCTTGGTCTGTAGCAGAACACCTACTTTCCTAGGGATTAGACCACTGGCCTTGAGGAATGAGGGATCAGGCTCTCCGGGAGGTAAGGCCTGCCCAAGATCATGACCACAAACGACTAAAGGCCCAGGCACCACCTTCCCTTGCACCAGCCCCCACGTTTCTGGCACGGCCCTCCCATTTAAAACCCTCTGGCTTGGGGGCACCTGGGTGGCTCAGTCGGTTAAGCCTCCGACTTCGGCTCAGGTCATGATCTCACGGTTTGTGGGTTCGAGCCCCGCGTTGGGCTCTGTGCTCACAGCTTGGAGCCTGGAGTCTGCTTTGGATTCTGCGTCTCCCTCTCTCTCTGTTCCTCCCTGCTCTCACTCTGTCTCTGTCTCTCTCTCAAAAATAAAGATTTTTAAAAAAACGTGTTTTTTTTAAACCCTCAGCTGTGCGGATGGGGAAGATGGCCTTTGGGGTGTTAGTGCACTCTCTTCCTGAATAAAGCAAACCTTCGTTTCCCACCATCACTTGTCTCTCGAGTACTGCTCTTCCAACCGGAGCAGTCCATCCCGCGTTGGGAACCGCTTGCCGTGTGACAACATCAGCTCAATTTACCGAGCGCCGCGTCGCGGGCGCGGTGGCCGGCTCTGCAAGCGCTGGCGCCCGTGGAGCGCGTACTCGCAGGGCACTGACACCAGGGGTGCCACATGCACTCGCAGCTGGTACGTGCCCGGGCCGCCCTCTGGGCAGGACCCGCAAGGCGACCAGCCACCGCCCACGCCGCGGCGAGCGAAGCGCTCCGCCCCCAGGGAACGCGAGGCCAGGTGTCAGCGCGCTCGCGAGGGGGCGGGACGAGTCGAGGCCCCGCCTCCAGGGGGCGGGGCGAGCGCCGCGCCTGCGCCGGACGAGGCGGGAGGGGCGCGCGCCGCGAGCTCCATGAGGGCCCTGCGGGCGCTGCTGGGGTTCGGTCTGCTGGCCGCCGGTTCGCACCTGCAGCGCGTCCGGGGCCCGGCCGGGGTCTGCCGCGCGAGGCCAGCCTGGTGGGGGACGCGGCGGCCGCAGTCGGGCAGCCGCGGGGACCCGGCGCTCATGGCGAGCCCGGCGGTGAAGTACTTGAGGTAGGCGAGGCTCGGGCGGGCTCGCTCCGGGGCGGGGGCCGGGACTGGGGCGGCCGCGCGCCCGCGCTCCGAGCGCCCTGGGGCGGGACTCAGGCCGTGGGTGTCCGCAGCCAGGAAGAGGCCCAAGCCGTGGACGAGGAGCTGTTCAACGAGTACCAGTTCAGCGTGGACCAGCTGATGGAGCTGGCGGGGCTGAGCTGCGCCACAGCCATAGCCAAGGTCGGTGGCGCCGGTCAAGCCCGGCCGGGGGGGGGGGGGGGG